ACTGAGCACAGTAATTGCACAGCTGGAAGGAGCCCGCAGAATCTGCAGCGCTGTATCTTTGCGTTGCTATCTCCTCGTTTCCCAGCTCACGCTGCAGACTCTAGCCGCAGGGCGATTTGCTGAATAAGCAGCGTGACCCTCCGTGCGGACAAATCGCTCGTGTTTGAGCCCCCGTAGCTGATCTTCGTGCAATGGAAATCCTTCCTCTAGGTTTTGGAGCACCCCAATTTTGCTGGAAATTCCTAACAAGATAGCTTTTAGCCATTCTAACTTGTCATTCTCCCGCACAGTGACGCGGTACACGGGAGTGATGCACTCCCTTCGCCACCATCTTGCAGCCTCTTTTTTTTTTTTTCTTTTTTCTTTTTTTGGTAGTGCTGTGGATGTAACCCAGAGCCTCACACATGCTAGGGACGTGCAGTACCACCGAGCAATATCTCCAGCTCTAGGGTTCTTTTTAACGAGAGCAAAGAAGATGAGATAATGCAGAGTGGAGGGTGTAAGGTCAGGAGACAATATTCTGTGAATTAGATCATAAAGCATAGCTGTGTATTTGTGTTGCTATCCAACAACAAGCCAGGAATTGGTGATGCAGGATAGAGGGAAAGGACAAAGGACAAAGGGAGGTTGACTTTTCACTCAGAGCCACCATTCTGTCCCTTTGGGTAGACTTTTGCTTTTCTCTTCTTTATTCTGCTTACTTCTCACATTATTCCTGCTTTGTCTTGTCTGTAAGCATAAATAGTAACGTAAATAGAATAATTATTTCTTGTACATAGTTACAAAATTTCACTGGTTTTTCATCTGTATCTGTCTCTAATACTAGGTCACTGGAATTTTTAAGAATGTGTTCTTTTAATGTTGATCTTATTAATTCTCATTTCTTCTCTTCGAAACATGTTTTTCAAAAGACAGAACTGAAAAAGAGGAAGAGGGAGGAGATAGGAGGGAGAAAATGAGTGTTATTAAAAATCTGAAATTTTCTCAATGGATGAGTGTGGGGAGCCATTCTCACACATGACTGGGCAACTCCCAGATTGGGTGTGAGGCGCTCTGGCTAAACTGTGTCGGAGCTTTCCCGACCCTCTCCTGGTGTGAGAGCCTGTCCGTGTGGGGGTGTGACTGACCACTGACCCTGAGGCCAATCACTGACCCTGACCTTGGGGTGCTGCCCCCCTCAACCTTCATTGGATGGAATTCTCCCCTGAATTTCTTGTTCCCCAATAAAAGGCCACTCCCTGGTGTGCTCTCTCTCTCTCTCTCTCTCTCTCTCCTGCTAGCCCTGAGTAATCCCTGCTGCCCTACCGGGTGGTTCAAGGTGTGAGCCAGAGGGAGAGCCGTCTCGGACCTGGTCATAGAAAAAGGTAACTGAGTCTGTGTGTTTATTTGATCTCACTAGCTAACTTTTATGCCAAGAACCTCTTTAATGAAACCAGTGCGCTGGTCGCATGGTGGAAGATGAGGTGCTAAAAATTGATTTTGAGCAACTAGGGATTGTGTGCGTGTGTGCATGTGCCCAAGTGTGCACACACTGGGAGCTTGCTTTCCACGGTTTTCTCCAAGTAACTGGAGAGAATTGCTAGTGAGTCTTAACGGGCATTTCATGCTCTTATCAACAGGTCAAAACGCAAGTTATTTTTATGACCCCAAAATAGATTTCCACGTGTTGATATAAAAAGCAATTAGTGCCTTCAATTCAGCTTGCATGCTGAGAAGATCAAAATTGTTGCAGAATTTCCCCCCTCCCACACTGATATTTATCATGTTAGATTACCCACAGGCTGCTGCTAATGGTGTTTTAGAGACAGCTAGAAAAACACCATCTATCAGATAAACAGCCTCTAAACTCATGGCCCTACCCATAGGGTACCTAGGATGATCTCATAAGGAAACAGAATTTTCTAACTTTTATTTGGGGACATTCAGGATCCAAGCTCAGAATGAGAAATTCTGGTCAGAAAACCCATATCTGAGACCATCCAGTCTTGGCTTGAATTCTCCTGTCCATTGTGAGGTGACTGAGATTATGGGGGTGGAAACTGTCATGTGAAATTGAACCCTGGTTTCCTGATGCAACTTCCATGATGCTTTTTCTGCCTAATGGGGACACCTGGACTCCAAATTTCCACATTTCCAAAACCTGACTGTGGTAATCACACTGGTCCACCTGCCTGAATCCCCACCCCTCACCAGGTTTCCTCTTTCCCAGGCTAATCAAATCTAATTCCTCCAACAGTTTCTCATGTGGAAGTGTTTAACATAGTCCCAGAAATTGACCTACAACTCCAATTCCTTTTTAAATTATATTTTGAGATAAATTTTTTTTGGTTCAAATCACAGCACTGCCATTTTTTAATTTAAAAAAAAATTACAATTTGTTCTTTTATGAATTGTGATTTGAGTATTGTATCTAAGGAATACTTTGCAAATATTTTCTCTTTTATAATTTTAGATCTTATCTTCATATTGGGAGTATGACATCTGGGGTTATCCAGTCAAATCTGCATGTTTACAAGAAAAAGTGAACAACATAGTGTAAATTGAGTTTCAGGTACTACAGTGCTCTCTATTTAAGGGAACAGGCATAGGAGAAAGCTTTTGGCTTAAATATGTATTTTTTGCATTTATATATATCAAAAAACAATCACCATAATAAAATAATGAGCATATTCATCACAGTCAAAAGTTTTCTTGTGCGCTTTGTGATCTCAGCCACTTGCCCTGTCCCCTATCCCACCAGGGAACTGCTGACTTGCTCTCTGTTCCTACACATAAGTTTGCATTTTCTAAAAATAAATTTATAGCTGGGCATGGTAGCGTGCACCTGTAACCCCAGATGCTTGGGAGACTGAGGCAGGAAGGTAGCAAGTTCGAGGTCAAACTGGGCAACTTAGCTAGACCCTGTCTCAAAATTTAAAAATAAAGATGGAGGGAAGGTTGGATTGTTTTCTCCTGGTTATGAATCATATTTTCTTTCTTTTTAATCATTCTTACAAATTTTGTAATGTTCCAATAATTGAGAATGAAAGAAATAGTATATATTCAAATATAATGTTTTTGTTTTGTTTTGTTTTGTTTACTTTGCTTTGCTTTATTTTCCTGGTAATGTAAGTCCTTCCCTCTGTGTGACAGTTTGAGTGAGAAGCTGGTCATTAATATTCCCCTCAGAGTTAAATTGAGTTAGATCTGCTGTTGGCCTACCTTCCTAAACTCCTTCACTGACTTTTAAATCTTGTACCAGTATATGAAACAGGAAGGAGTCGGGTTTCAGTTTTACTATTTTTTTTAACTTACATTTGGACTAAAACCTTATAATCCAATTATTATGAAATATGTGCTACTATACAGTTTGTCTCTGCTTCCCAATCCCTTCTTGGTGCCACTTTCTCAGCAAAATTCTGGAGTGGGATAGGGATTTGGGGACAAAGAATTGTTGGAAATTGAGGAACCTTTCAGATTCCAATCTGTCTCGCCAGAGCATCTGTCATCTAAGCTTCATCTAATTTATTCTTCTCTTGCAAGGTCTTTTAGAACGATGGACTCTCTTATTGGTCTGGATCCCAGCCCGGTATCTTGCCCCAAGTTTGGGAGAACACTTGGCTCTCTGCTCATCTACAAAGGGTTCATTTCTCTCTGAAGCTTAAACCTTTAAGGGTTTTTTGCATACCAAGAAAAGTATGATTTTTCATTTTTTCCATATTTTCTTCTTCTTCCCATGGATCTAAAGGATTTTATTATCCTTCTACATCATTATCAAGACAAAGACATGTGGCCATGTGACTTGGGAATAAAATAAACATGACCATTTTGACAAATTCTACCTGTTTTTCAAATTTTTGCTTTATGAATGTTAATAGTATGGGGTTGGGTGCACAAAGTTCTGTGATTGTCACATATTGTAAGAAGCTTTTTATCACTGTGCAATCTCTCACCCTAGCCCCACTTTGCTATGCATTGAAGCATGTCTCTCTGCACCTTCTGTCTCTCCTCCCCATGAGTTTCAGTCTTTACCATATAACATTTGCTGGTTTTTATCTGCATTAGTTTATTGACTTTGAGAAAAAATTACTTCCTCTCCTTTGAGCCTTAATTTCCCCAACTGCAAAACAGATGAGAGAGTCTAAAAATCCATTTCAAGTTTAAATTTTATTAAATACTTATGTTATGTCCCTAAGAAGGTATGATCATAATCATAGTATTTTGTAATTATAATACATATAACATAATTATATGCAGCTGATATTACATATCACTATATAATATTCTAATGTATATTTCATAAGTTAATTATATATTAATAATTGTACATAGCACTATATAATATTCTAATATATATTTTATAAGTTAATTATATACTAATAAAAGTGTACATCTTTGATATACTAAAGAACAATTATATAAACATAATACTACACTAAGGTTATGATGTATATGTAATTCTATTTTATTTACATAACTATAATTATATAATATCAATTGACACCATTTATTAAACTGCCATCCTGTATCAAGACATTCTTCCTCTTCCCTCTACTCTACATTCTCTTGTCTAATAATGCCATTTTATTCGAAAGTCTGTCTCAGTTTGGTTATCAGTTCCTTCAGAAAGCTTTCTCCAAATCACCCTAGCCTGAGTTAGATATTCCTGCTCTCACAGCTCCCTGTAGTTCTCCCAAGTGCAACACTTATCACACTTTATTAGAATTTCCTATGGAATTCTTGACACCTCCAAAAAAAAGAGTATAAACTCTATGGAAGCAGGGCAATCCATTATTTATTGCTCTTGATATTTGCCAGCATCCAGAATAGTACCTGGCGCATATCAGGCACTCCATAAATGTTTGTTGAATAAATAATTCACTAATGCTAGGCAGCATATGCTATATCATCAGAAGACACTAGCACAGTATTACAAAGACCAATACCTCTTTAATCGGTTAACTCACACTTCCTCTCTTAAACGCGGCTATAAAAAGAAACAAGAGGCAACTAAACTCCAGTGAAACAGACTGTGGTAGAAGAGCATCATTCTTGTCTGCAGAAGACTAGAGCCCAGAAGAAGATGGCCCAGCACCTCCTGTGGATTTCGCTCCTTTTTCTGCAAACCTGTGAGTTCTGACCCTTGTTAACCTCCCTCATTCCTACTTTTCCATAAAATTGTAGAAATTGTTCTTAAGAAAGATACTGAAGTGTCCCTTTGATCTTTTTTCAACAGAAGACCCTCTGCTTCAGTATACCTTGTACTCAAAAGAGATCCAACTGATGGGGGATGGCTTTAAGCTCAAATCTTAAAACAATTTAAGTTGTTTCTCAACTGTAGAGTTAATATTTCTGAGTTTTATCTGTGCTGTCTCCAAACATCTGAGAAAAACCCCTCTTCTGGGAAGAGACAGCATTTTGTGTAGACTCACCCACAAAACCCAATGTGTAGACTCACCCACAGAACCCAATGAAAAGACAGGTCATCCAAAACCTTGAGCAAATTAAAAGCAATTTGTTTTTTTGGTATTAGAATGTGTTATGTGGTTTTTGAGAGAGATATGATCTGACTAATGATATTTCATTGCTCTATCAGGTTAGAATGTTGCATGATTTCTCACTATAAAAAAAATTCCTCTCCATGAGCTCCTTTCATTTTAAAAGCACATTCAGGATTATTAGTCTGCTTTTTATTCTCCAAAAACTCTAAAATAAATGGGGGAAAGGTGATGACCCTCCCGCCATTTTTGTGCAAGTAAATTCCAAACAAAAACAGAGGTTCAGAACTTGAGTTATAAGCTCTATTTTCCTTACTTATGCCTTAAATTAATATTGGTTATTAGATTACCTACCGAACAAGTAGGTAATATTAACAAAAAAAGTCCTCAGAGTGCTTTATAATTGCTCATATTATCATCCTAGATCCAAATAATTGCCTGTTCATGTAAAAATTGATTATGTTTGGAATTTCTAAGTGTACTTTTAGTATTCTTACCAGCTCTGAATGTGCACTAGCAAATGCCTAGCATTAGTGAGAACCTAGGAAACCTGGTGGGTTAGGACTTTCTGAAAAAGTAGAATCAATGTACTATGATCTCTCTGGTTTCCTTGACCATGGTATGGCTCCTTTAATTTGAGTTTCATGGAGATTACAACCACTGAGCAGGCTGAGTATTTGCAGCTTCTGCTGATCCCCTATGCAAGTAGATGGGGAACAGAGTGGAACCTAGGGATGTCCTTATCTCTCAGAGAAGGAATAGACGGGGTGGCATTTCACTTAATTTGAAAAGTATTCTTCAATTATCATGCCTACTTCTTATGTTACCCGTATTAGGACCTCTGCAACAGGTGAGATGAAAATTATTAATTTCATTATGAGTAATGAAAAAGAGGAAGAGTAAACCAAGACTCAGAAATTAAATAATTCACCTGAAGTGCCACTTCTCGAAATTGGTAAAACTAGAAATGGACATTGATTCTTGTAACTCAAGGCTATAGGCCTTTCTGCTCCATCTGATCTCCCCACTAAGTGTTCAAATCCTCATTCTTCAAAGGGCAATATAACAGGCTGCCCTAGGATACACTTTCTCTTCTCCCGAAACTGAAGTCAAAGTTGTCGAATCATCTAGTAGCAACTCACTTGCCCATTAGTTTTGATCCTCAAAAAGTTGTGCAACCTCTTGAACTTTTGTTTCAAATCCTTCAAAATGGGGAAACTATTACTAGTAGGATTATTTAGAGAATCAAAATAATAATTTACAATACTTGGTATAGAAACCAAATACAGTACATGCTTAACAAATATTAGCTAATGCTATTTTTTGTTTTTTCACAGTTTTTGTTTTTTAATTGTTGTGGTGGTGATGGTGGTACCAGGGATTAAACCCAGGGGCACTTTACCTCTGAGCTACATCCCCAGCCATTTTTATATTTTATTTTGGGAAAAGTTCTCACTGAGTTGCTTAGGGCCTTGCTAAGTTGCTGAGGCTGGCTTTGAACTTGAGATCCTCCTGCTTCAGCTCCCCACCCCACACCCCACCTAAGGCATGCACCACTGCATCTGGCTTGCACTGGATGTCCCATGCATTATTAGGAAGGATCTTGAATTTATTGCACCAAGATCCTGGACAGGACTCCTCTGTTTGGGATGGTCCAAGGAACATGAGCATGCAGAAAAGTAGAATGAGTTTGAGCTTAGGTGTGGGCTGTTGTTCTGAAAAAGGAACCAGGTGAGATATTCATGTCATTAGGGACTCCTTAAATAGAGAATGGTGCATATTTTATAGAATAAAGCTGCAAACATTTTCACACACCATTCACCTTGACTGAACGGATACGTTTGCCTCTTAAAGATTATTCCACAAACATTTCCATTTTCCTGAGTGCACATGTACGCCATAAAATCCCCCACCCCACCCCTGCTGTCCCTAGAAGAGGTGAGCCCTCATATTTGGTATTGGGCTTAGGAGTGCACACTGGTTTTATGCATTTCCTAGAATTCAGAGCAGTCGAAGCAGCTGAGAAGATGTGGAGAGATGAAGGTAGAAATTCCCCGTTTTCCCCTGAAATCACTGACATAGGGAAAGTCTGAGTGTGTGAACCTCTGACTGCTCCCCACTGGAAAGGTTTTCTTGGAGAATCAAGACTCACAGTCTTGTGCTCTGAGCTTGACTTTCTCGTGGTCACTTTGGGAGCTCTGTGACTCTGACTGTCCCTCCACATATTAGCCACTCACCCTCATCACTTTTGCTCCCTGTGCATTCCCTCTCTGTGTTCTCTCTCACACTCTTAATCCTTCTTTTTCTCCTCCCACTTCTTACATCTACTTCCTCAACTCCTTCTCTTGCTCCTTTCTCCTATCTCCCATCAATAATAGTAATAGCAGGGGCTGGGGCTGGGGCTCAGTGGTAGCGCACTTGCCTGGCATGTGTGAGGCACTGGGTTCGATTCTCAACACCACATGTAAATAAATAAAATAAAGGTCCATCAACAATTAAAAAAATATTTTAAAAAAATAATAGCAATAACAAACCATGGGTGGAACAATCCCTACTCATCTGACAACACTCTCCATAGACGACGGTTATTGTTTTGTTTAATCTACCCCCAACACCCATGAGATGGATACTATGACTATACCTATTTACAGATAAAAACATTGATACACATTAAGTCAAAGGGTCATTTAGCCAAAATGTAGAGGAAGTGGGATTTAAACCCCAGTGTCAGGGCTGGGGCTGTGGCTCAGTGGTAGAGCTAGAGCATGCGCCTAGCACATGTGACGCCCTGGGTTCAATCTTCTGCACTACATAAAAATAAGTAAAATAAAGGTATTGTGTCCAAATAAATATATTTTAAAAAATTAAAAATAAATAAACCCCAGTGTCCTTAAACTTAACCACCAAGCACTATTCTCTTGCCAAAGTGGAGTAAAACACTGGTCCCATTATGGATGGTTTTCATATTTGGGAATTTATTCCTTGAAAGACAGGATTATTCAAGTTGAAGCTGCACCTCTCTCTTCCCCTACCAAAGAGGTACTGGTGGACAAGCCCTTTGTCAGTAATAGAAATTTTGGCAGACTCTCAAGACAGAATATCTGAGGGAATAGCCATCTCTTCAGTCTCTGTTCACACACCATTATTTCAGTATAATTTAAGTTGACTTGAATTAGCTTTTTCAAAACAAACAAAAGTCCAGTGTCAACATGGCCTTGATGTCCCTGTTGGGTGTAGAGTAGATCATGAAGCATTTCAGCAGAAACTTAAAAACCCAAGAAGTGAGGGGGCCCACCTGTATATCTGTCCAAGGATAACTAGACCCCTAGCATCATCCCGGGGGTCAGAGACAGGATGCAGGCCTACTGAAGGGCACTAACAAGAGCCAACCTGCCACTGGCCTGAAGTCCTTGCAGGGAGAGGCCTTCAAGATAAAGACAAGACCTCAATTCTAGAAAGAGATTTGAGCAGATGACCACCATGGTCACTCATGAGGGGCTCAAACGCAGAAGCTTAATTATAGAAATGGAAATATATTGTATGTGGGGAAAATTAGACGTCAGGACATCAGCTCAGAGACATGATTCTCCAATAGAGGCTGGAAACTGTGTCCCTGTAATAACACCAGACTCCATGGAGTGGATAGAGGCTCATGGTGTCAGTCCAATATGCTCAAGCAGCCCCGGATATGAACCTGTAATCTGACAGAGCAGAGAGTGTCCAACAGTCAATGCCAGCCATCCAAGTTCTCAAGTGTTCCTGAATCAAACCTTTCCTATCTTGGCCCTTTAGGGAGGGGTAGATCTGAAACTTTGGGGGTAATTAAATTCATTACTGAAGAACCAGGGGGGAAAAAAGAGATATGAGCAATCAGTTGACAGGTCTGATATTGGGGGAACTGGGAACTATATAGGTACCCATTTTCCGTTTGTTACACGTGATGCTTAAGGATGTGCTAATAGAGAGGAGCAGGGGAAAGCAATGGATGGCCATGACCCCGTCTCTGTTTTTGAGATTTTGCACTTGCATGTGTGTGTGTTGGGTTTTATTTGTTTTGAAGCAACTGATTAAAGTCAACCCAAATCTCAATAAAGATAATATAAAGGAAAAAATCTCAGAGGAAAATAGGATATCATGGTAGGAGAGTAGCAGGTTCCCTTTTCTGACAACCTTGTGACTAAGGACTTTCCATCTTTCTGGAGAATGACCCAAAATTTCTGCTGCCCAACCATTTTGCTTCCTCTTTGCCTCCAGTGTCTCAACTTAGTTGGACAAGTTATAACCCACTGTTGGTTTTTGGCTACCGCAAGATCATGCTGCCTCTGGTCACCATCCCAGTCCGGCAATACAAAAGGACCTTCCACCCCCATGGTAGGCAGTGAGTGGATGGAGAAGAAGGGAGGAAGTCAGCTACTGCTAAAAAAAGAACAAGAAGTGCTTATTTGAAGGATCCTGAAAACACAAGGGTTGAGGGTGTCTATTAAGCAACAGTACCATCATCCGCAGTCCACCCTTGCTTACTGTTAGACCTCCTCTGACATCTCTGCAAAACCCCAACACTTCTTTTTTCTTTCTGAGTTGTCCAGGGTGTTATTTTTATCTCTGTAACATGCTTATTAATTTTATATAAC